GGAAAAGACGAAACTGTGGAGAAAGTAGAAAGATCAGTGGTTGCCAGGGGAAAAGGGGGAGAGAGATGAATAAGCACAGCACAGAGGATTTTCAGGGCAGTAAAACTGTCCTGTATGGTATTACAATGGTAGATACATGTAATTACGTATTTGTCATAACCCATGGAACGTACAACGCCAACAGTGAACCCTGACGTACAGTACGGACTTTGGGCAATAATGACGTGTCAGTGTAGGTTTATCGAGTGAGACAAACGCCCCACTGTGGTGCAGAACGTCAACAGTGGGGCAGGTTACGCACGTGTGAGGAAGTGGGTTACTTGGAAACTCCATACTTTTTGTTCAATTTTTCTGTGATCCTAAAACTTCTCTAAAAAAGTTTTAAAAAGTAATCCAAAAGAATGAAAAGAAAAAACAGAATAGCAAGATGGTAGACTTAAATTCAACTACATTAGTAATTTTTACATTAAATATAAACGGGCTAAACATTCCCATTAAATGACAGATTGTCAGATTAGATTTTTTAATAAGCAAGACAACTACACCCTGCCTACAGGAAACTCATTTTCAGTATAAAATAAGTAGGCTAAAATCACAAGAATGTAAAAAGGATACCTAACACTGTATCTGAAGAAAACTGGCATGACTATTGTAACATCAGACAAAGTAGACTTCAGAACAAGGAATGTTATGAGCAATAAAAAGGGGCATTTCATGGTGATAAATGGGGCAATTCACGAGAAACACAGAACCCTAAATGTGTATGCAGCTAACAGATTCAAAATGCCCAAAACATCAACTGACCAAATTAAAAGATAAAATAGACAAATCAGCAATTATATTTGAAGATTTCAGTATTCCTCCCTCAGTAATTTAGCAAAAAGAAAGAAAATATCAGTAAAAATAAAGACATCCTGAATGACACTATATCTGACTCAGCAGACATTCACAGAACACAGTACTGAAATATAGCAGAATACACATTCTTCTGAAGTGGATTATGAAACATTTACCAAGCCAAACATTCTGAGCTATATAATAAGTCTCAATAATATTTACCAGGAATGAAATCTATGTTCTTGAACAACAATGAAATTAAATTAGCACTCAACATAAACATCTGAAAAATTCCTAAATATCTGGAAATTAAACATACTTCTACATAATCCATGAGACAGGAAGAAATTAAAAGGGAAATTAGTAAATTCTGAATTAAAATATTTTAAACTGAAAATGAAAATACAGCATATCAGAATTTGTGAGATGTAGCTAAAGCAATACTTAGAAAAAATTTAGGCCTTACATGGTTATATTGGACATCAATGACCAAACTTCTACCTTAAGAGCAAAAGGAGGAAATTAACCCAAAGTAAATGGAAGAAAATAAAAATAAGCACACATACACACACACAAATCAATGAACTAGTAAACAGAAAAACATACCAATAAAACCAAAAGCTGTTCTTTGAAAGATACAGTCATGCATCACTTAACAATGGGGATATGTTGTTGGGGATATGCGTTGTTAGGCAATCATGGTAGAGTTACTTACACAAACCTAGACGGTACAGCTTTCTACACACCTAGGCTATTTGGTACAGCCTATTGCTCCTGGGCACAAACCTGTACAGCATGTTGCTGTACTGAATACTGTGGGCAACTGTAATACAACAGTAAGTATTCGTGTATCTAAACTTATCGAAACATAGAAAAGTACAGTAAAAATACAGTATAAAAGATAAAAAATGATACAAGGCACTTACTGTGAATGGAGCCTGTGGGACTGGATGTTGCTCTGGGTGAGTCAGTGAGTGGTGAGTGAACGTGAAGACCTTGGACATTGCTGTGCACCACTGCAGACTTTGTGAACACCACACACTTAGGCTACACTGTTTATAAAAATCTTTCTTCAGTAATTAACCTTAGCTTACTATAAATTTACTTTATAAACCTTAACTTTTGTAATAACACTTAGCTTAAAACAAACCCATTGTACGACTGTACAAAAATATTCCTTATATCCTTATTCTATGAGTTTTCTATTTTTTAATTTTTTTTACTTTTTAAACTTTTTTGTTAAAAGCTAAGACACACATATTAGCCTAGGCTTACACAGGGTGAGGATTATCAATATCATGTCTATCACTATTACAGATGTAAGGCATAAATATATACAAGCCTTATGCACTGAAAACTAAAACATCACAGAGAATTTAAAGACCTAAATAAATGAAGAGAAATACCATGCTCTTGAGTCAGCAAGCTCAACAGTGTTAAGGTGTCATCCCCCCACCCCAATTTATCTATAGACCCAATGCAATTCTAATAAAATTCGCAAGTTTATTTTTGGTAGAAACTGACAAGCTTATATCAAATTAAAAGTATATGGAAATGCAAAGAACCTACAGTATCCAAAGCACTTTTGAAAAAGAACAAAGTCACAGGATTTAACTACAGCCAAGTACTGCATAATGACAATTCAGTCAACGGACCACATATACAATGGTGGTCCCTTAAGATTATAATACTGTATTTTTGCTGTACGTTTTTTATGTTTGGATATACAAATACTTACAACTGCCTACAGTATTCGGTACAATTAACACCCTCTACAGCTTTGTAGCCCAGGAGCAATGAGTCGTGTAGTAGACTATACCATCTAGGTTTGTGTAAGTACACTCGATGATGTATGCACAACAATGAAATTGCCTAATGACATATTTCTCAGAAAGTATCCCTGTCATTAAGTGACATATAACTGTACATAATTAAGATATTATAAAGCTACAGTAATCAAGACAGCATGGTATTAGCAAAAGGACAGACAGGGAGATAAATGAACCTGAATAGAGTTCTAAAACAGAACGACACATATATGAGGTCAACAGAGATCTGACGGAGGTGCCAGAGTAATAAGGTAGTGCTGGAATAATTGGCCATTTATTAATACGTGCAGAAAACCTCGATCCATACCTGGTACTTTATACAAAAATTAACCTGAAATGAATAATACACTTAAATATAAGACTTAAAACCATAAAACTTTTAGAAAAACACATATAAGAACGTTCTTGTGACTTTGGATTAAGATCTATTAGGTAGTCAAGAACCATAAGAGAAAAATACGAATGAGACTTCATCAAAAAAAGACTTCTCCACAAAGGACAAGATTAAGGAAATGAAGAGACAAACAGGGAGAAAATATTTGTTAAACATATCTGTGATAAAGACTTAGATCCAGAATATATAAATTCTTCCAATTCAATAAAACAACCCAAGGTTTTTAAATGAGCTAAATATTTGAATAGACACTTCAAAAAAGATACACAAGTGATAAGTCTGCATATGAAAAGATGTTCATAATCCATCCTTATTATAATCCAACTTAAAACCAAAATGAGAGAGCAATACATATCCCTTCAAATGGCTAACGTTTCAGAGATTGACAATACTAAATGTTAAAGAGATGGAGCAACCAGAACTCTCATACACAACTCACAGGAAAGTAAAATCATACAACCACTTTGGAAAACAGCGGTAACTTCTTATAAGTTAAACACGCACTCACTATATGACCCAGTAATCCAATTCCTAGGTATTTACCTAAGAAAAATGAACTACATCCATACAAAGTGTATTCACAGCAGCTAAAGGCCCAAACAGCAAACAACCCAGATATCATCTAATGGGGAATGGATAACAAATTGAGGTGTATCAGTACAATGGACTACTACTCAACAAGAAACAAACTACTAACATACACAACTTGGACGAATCTCAAAAGTATCTTACTAAGTTAAAGATTCACAATTGCAAAGATGTGGAAACAACCCAAGTGCCCATCAATACATGAGTGAATTAATAAAACGTGGTATATGTATACCATGGAGTTCTACTCAGCCACAAAAAACAATGGTGATCTAGCACCTCTTGTATTATCCTGGATAGAGCTGGAGCTCATTCTGCTAAGTGAAGTATCACAAGAATGGAACAACAAGCACCACATGTGCTCACCATCAAATTGGTATTAATTGATCAACACATGCACTATGGTAGTAACATTCATCAGGTGTCGGGCAGGTGGGAGGGGGAGGAGGGGATGGGTACAGTCACATCTAATGGGTGCGGTGCGCACCACCTGGGGGATGGACACACTTAAAGCTCTGACTCTGGTGGGGCAAAGGCAATATATGTAAGCTAAACATTTGTACCCCCATAATATGCTGAAATAAAAAACATTAGATGTTGCTTCATTGTATTTATATGAAATTCTTGGAAAGTCAAAATTATAGTTGCAAAAAGGAGTGGTTGTCTGTGGCTGCATTTGGGGAAAGAGACTACAAAGTGGCATGAAGGAACTATTAGGGGATGATGGAAACGTTCTGGATTATTTTGATGGTGATAATATAACCAGCTATTAGTCAGAACTCAAATGTACATTTAAAATGGGCAAATACTACTACATGTAAAGTATGTTACTGAAGCTAATTTTAACTTATAGAATTAAGGCACTTTTATGTCTTGAACTAAATTTCCATGTGCTTATTCTGAATTCTATTTAACATGGTAATTTTATCAGGCCTTTATTGGCTATACTCCACCAGTTTTTAGTCAAAGTCCTTCAGCATTATAGTTATAGAAAAATACCAGGATTGTGGTGCTCAGGGCCAGCCATTCAGGTGAAGATATTCATGAGGTAAGTTGAAAATATGCTTCTATAACTTTGGTGATTAGCTGGAGCTAGAGATACAGATTTGGGAGTCATCTGCAGAAAATAGTAGAAACCATCGAGTTGATAAAATTGTACTTTTCCCTCATTGCCGCCTCTCACTTCTTACTAATCCGCAGAACCATAGGAAATGCTTAGTCAAATGTGAAATAAATGAATGACTTCAATTTTTTGAAGGTCAGCCTTTCCATCAGATCTAAATGATAACATACCACAGAACTTAAAAAAAATATTTTAAGTATATTTATATCCCTAAACTCAGATATCTCACCTGGTTTAATTTTTCAGTGTGATTCAGTCTTGAAGTCTCCACTACATTTAACTTGGAAGTCTTTTCCATGTTCAGTATTTGCTTCGGTGGTTCCACGTTTGAAGTGGGCTGTGAAAAGCGTGCCTTTGCTACCGGGGAGCCTGTGGAGTATGACCCTTGTCTCATTCTAAGTGGTTGGGTAAAAATTTTACCTTTTGTGAGTAATAGAAGAAAGAAAGAAAGATTGTCACTAGCAATTTCTAGTTTATTTTCTGGTGGTCATTTATAAAGGCTACTGTGTACTAACTGCCCTCAACCTAGAAATAAAAATTAAGAAAACAAAGCTTACATTTTTAGATTAAGCCAATAAAACTTACAAACAGTATCAATGATTAGTCAGCCACAGAAAGCCAAGACATATGTTTATTACTGAAAAAGTTGGGACTATCTAAAACTCACTTAAGGTCACCTGAACATAATTACAGAGCGGTGGGGATTTAATCAGTAAAAACTTAAAAAGCTGTATCCCATTTAGGAGACCAAAAAGTCTCCAAGTAATGAGTCTGCTTAGAACTATGCTGCTCAAACTGGACAACCACCTACTAGTATGGAGGGAGGGAAGATGAAAAGCTACAGCTAAAAGGATATTGTTCTAGAGTATAAATTTCTTTCTTCAAGATTTATAGGAAGGGGGAATAATACCGCTGTAGAGACATATTCTGTCTTTCCCGACATGAAAGATATATCACTGGCCATATATCACATGGCCTAGCTCTTTCTTTATCCTAAGGGTCAAGTTCACCAAAAAAAACCATTTACTTCCAAGATACCCTGATGATAGGAAGAAGGGGCCATGGATGGGGAACATGAGCAATCCAATCACTTGGAAGGAATATCCACCCTCACTATTCAATAAATTGGCAAACTGCTTTATAAAAAAAAAAAAAAAAATCAACCTCTTGTAAGTCTAATAGTAGGAGTTAATTTCCCTAAATTTGAAAACGTCAAGCATACTGACAAGGTTGAAGTCAAGACTTGAAACACTTAGGGGCCTCCACAGCCTTTCCTGACCAGAGCATATCCTCAAACTTCGTTACCCACCACAATGTAAATACTGGTTTGTAAACTCGTGACACATTCTCATAGTTCACCTACATTAATCTAAATGCAGATTTTGGAGAAAAAGAAAAAAAATCCCTGAAACAGGCATAGAATTCTCCCAAACAGGCTCCCCATATGCTCAGTGTATAAAGCCTGTATCTATAGGGAGATACTATACAAATGATCATGTTGGTCTTCTGAGCCTTTAATAGACACAACAATTGGGTTAGAAAGCACTGGATGAGCAGTGATAAGGGCCTGGTATCTAACACCAGCTGTACCACTTTTCCAGCCACGTGACTTTGGAAAAGACTCTTAACTTTCCTGAGCTTTGGTTTTCTTATCTATCAATATAAGGGAGGGTTACTCACCCTACTTTAGTATGGTAATAAGAATCCAAGATAAAATGCTATACAAATACGGTGGTTATCATTACACTATATAAATTATTTAAGTGCCTCCTAGAATATACCCAGTGATGGCAAAGATCAGATGGGCTAATGCTAATAATGTTTTTCTTTTAGTATTTAATGTTTCATTTTCCTTGTTATATCTTGTTTACATGAACACATAGTCACATAAAGTTCATTTACAGTGTTTAAGAACTGATCTTGTGTTTTTAACAACAGTCGTCACTTATTATGAGCTTACTAAATTCCAGGCACTTTACAGACTTTATCTCATGTAAGGTCCTCAGCACAACCCCAAGAGGCAAGTATTATTATTTCTATTTTAGAGATGAAGGAAACTAAGGCTTAGACAAATTAAGTAACTTGCCCGAGATCACTCAACAGGTAAGTGGTAGGGCCAGGTTTCAAGTTTAACAAACTCATGGAGCTTAGCCATCACGCAGCTCTACATGTGCCGGACTGCTCCAGCGTCTGCTAATCCACAGTACAGTTATTAATGCTGACACGCTTACCTGCTGACCATCCTCTCTGCTTGTCCTCTAGTACACTCTTCTTTAGTGTCAACAGAGAACCTGCTCTGGTCTGCTCTACAGAAATGATATCCGAAGCTGCATTCAGCACTTCAAACAGAGAGAGGAATCCATATTGCGCATATTGGAATGACCGTCCAAATCGCTTGGCAAACGCCTTTTCAAAATCAGAAAGGAGAACAGGAGATAACGCCAACAGGTCTTTCAACTCACTCTTCACAAAAGCGGGAAGAATAGGGGGAACCCTTCCTCGGTAAGGTACTCGCAGACCGGAGCTTGCCCCGGAGCACACGCTGGCCCTTCCCTTCTGCACGGAGCTTCGAACCTTATGGCTGCTCCTCTGTTTTGCAACTAAACTTGCTATTCCTTTGGTGGATTCATCTGGAATGGCTAAGGACATGTGAAAAAAGAAATCATAGGTGAAAAACGCATTCCCTGCTTTATCCTTTGCATCTGGGTTCATAGAGTTAACTTTCCAACAAACACGCACCCACGATTCCTCCATTTACCGCATTTTGGGCAACAGCTACCAGCTCCACTCCCAGCTGATGAGCAGCGAACCCACGTATCATCCCTACCACGGCTTCTTTGTGCTTTATGGAATTTCAAACATGTTCTTATAATTAAGGAGTCCTACTGTCACTGTGTCTCTCCTGACTTCAGGTACAACAACCTGAAATCACGCGAAAATGTAATTTTTGCGCGTGCACATTTGTCTGGGGAATGGCTTCTCCAGCTTGCTAAGGCTCTGACTTTGTCCACGTTTCAAAGGCACCTGGGATTCCCTCCTCCCCCGGCAAACTAAAACCCCCCGCCTGGATACTCGCGCGGCTAGAGCAACTCTTTACCGAGTGACTATTTCTACCGCAGTTCACAGACCCCCGGCCTACCTTTCAGCACGACGGCCCCGTCCCCGCGGGGGCAGACGCGGACCACGTCGGGCATGTCCAACGCCAGCTCCATGGCGGAGCGGTACCCGAGCACGCGCAGCGGCAGGGGGCTGCCGACCATCAGCAGGTACTCCCTCTCCAGCTGCTGCGGGCTCAGCCCGTCTTTGGCGGAAATGAGAAGCGACCTTACTTCCTTCCTCAGGCATTCCTGAACGCGCTCCTGTTCCGACATCGCACCTGCGGGGCTGAGCACAGAAACGCGGCTCAGGAGCAGCCTCAGGCAAAGCCCTGAGGAAAGAACATTTTTAACAACCGACAGTGGAAGGAAAACAACCGAGATGAGAGTTCCAGGATAAGGCAGAAGCCAGACTGCGAGGGCGGCCCCCGCACAATTCAAACCCGCGTTCATTACCCCACAGGCGTCTCGAGAAGTCGCCGCCACGAGCGAGCGTGAGGCGTCCTTCTCCGGCGCGAGCTCTGCCACTGACGGACTCCCGTCGACTCTCCGGGAAGACACGCGGCAAACGCAACGCCTCCCACGCCGATGCACGGAAGGGGCCCACGTCAGGGCTCTCCCCCTCGCACGCTTCCTCCGCCCCAAACCGACGGGACGGCTCCCGCTTCCTCTTACCGGAAGTCGACAACCGCTCTGGCCCGCCCTCTCCCGCTGCCCGGGACGGGGCTCCCCTCCCTCGCCCCCAACGCCTCTCGCCGCCCCCCGCCAGGGTGGGGAGCGCCCCCTCCGCCTGCCGCCGCTGCCGAGACCCGAGGTGAAAAGGCCGGCGGGAGCGCGGCAGTAGCACCCCTTCTCGGCCCGGCACCTCTTGCCGTCCCTAACCCGTGCTGCCCCCCGACGCCGGCGCTGCCGTTGCGCGCTGAGGAGAGGCAGAGGCGCCCTCCCAGCAGGCGGCAGAGAAACGCCGCCGCCAGGACGGCCCCGCGCGCCTGCGCACCAGCGCCACGGACTCCGCGTTCCACTCCGGCCCACGTGCCGGCGGGACGGTTAGGCGGGACCGGCTGTGGGGTGAGGTCTGGGGCCCCTCCTAGTCGCGGGACCGCTCGGCCCGGCTCCTCGGAGGCATGGGCCACCTTCTGGGCTCGCCTACCTCCTCCAGCACGCTTCGGAGACGCGAGGTGGGGCCGCCGCAGGAGGGCCTCCCCAACCACCCCTCCCAGGACCGGGCCGGGCTGTGGCGGCCGCCTCGGAGGCAGGCAGCGGGGAGGGAAGGAGGCCGCGTGGTTCTTAACTAGAGTGTTCCTCGGAATCACCTGTGGAGCCGTTTAAAGGGGAGGAAAAGATGCCCAGGTCTGATCAGCAGAGACTCTCATCCAGTAGGTTCTAGGTTTATTTGGGGAGAATTGCAGGCAATTCTGATTGTTGGTTGAGAATCACTGCAAAGCTAGATGCACCTTGGCTCCCAGAGGGAGGAGCAAGTGGGGCTAGGAGGACTTTGTGAATGAGTGGAGAACATTCCAGGTGCCCCTGGAGATAAAAGAGTTGGGAGACTAAAGGAAGGATGGGCTGGGCGCGGTCGCTCACGCCTGTAATCCTAGATTATGGGAGACCCCACTCTGGGAGGCTGAGGCAGGAGGATCGCTTGAGCCAGGAGTTGGAGGTTGCTGTGAGCGAGGCTGACGCCACGGCACTCTAGCCCGGGCAACAGAGCGAGACTGTCTCAGAAAAAAAGAAGAGGATATATTTGTTAGTTTGGTGGAATGGGCCAGATTTATAAAATCCTTGAAAACCAGAAAACAGTAGTTTAAAAGATACAGAATACAGAGGCATAGTATAAAGACTTTTACCTTAAAATGCATAATTAAGGAAACAAGACAAACCAAAGAATCTGAATCAATTAAGAGAACTGAGGACACACATCTACCTTGTCTTCTGCCTAAAATCCCATGACATAATAAAAAAATTTTTTTAAAAGCCCAGAGGAACAAAATGTTCCATCAGTGAGCCAGGAATATTGAGGAATCCCTGAAAGACATGAAATAACAAGATTTGTGGACTCGTTTATAGCAGAATGGGCAGAGCTGAGTTTACAAATTAACAAAAAAGAAAATTATAAGACATGGAAAATGGATCCAGACATTGCAACATCTGAATGACAGAAGTTAATAGAAACAACCGAAAGAATGGTGGTGAGGGTTGGGGGGTTAAATAAAAGAAAATGTGCTAGGTTTGAACAAAAACACAAGTCTTCAGATTAAAAGGGCCCATTTGAGTCCTTAGAATGACTAATGAAAAAAGATACGATCCTAGACAAAGCCTAGGAGAAAGGGAATCAAGAGATTTTACGTAGAAATGTTACCTGTAAAACAAGGGAAGTTAGACTGCCACTGAACTTCTCAATGGCAATATCTTCAAAGCTGAACCTGGAATCCTTTATCTAGGCCAACCAGCATTAAAGTGGGGAAAGTAAAAACATTTTCAGACATGCAAGAAATCAGAAAGTTTATCAACTAATGACTTGAGAATAACTCCTACAAAATGAACATGAATCAAAAAAAAAAGATATCCCAGATTCTCAGCCCCAATTATCTGAGATGACAGCAGGGAACAGATATAGAGCACTTACTATGTGCTCTCTACATAGAGTATCTAATTTTCTTCCCATTAAGTCTGAGAAAGGTGCAATTATGATCCCCATTACAGATATATATAGATAGATATCTATATATGATAGTGTCTTGCTACTTTGCCCAGGCTGATCTCCAACTCCTGGGCTCAAGCCTCCCAAGTAGCTGGGATTACAGGTGTGAGCCACTGCATCTGGTTTGATCCCCACTTTAAAGTGAAGAACCATATACAGACATGAACAAGGGAATAAGAAAGAGGGATAGGCAACAAAAATATAAAATTGATGATTAAATCAAAAAGTTATTGGTACATGATATGAAAAAGAGAAAGATTTTTAAAAGATATTCTGGACCTAAACTCCGGATCAGTAACTGCAAATGAAGTGTCAGGAGCTCTTTGAAGTTGCTTCATTAAGGAAACCCCAATGGGGAGAGTAGCTGCCATGGGAGTCACCACTTGATTGGGTTTGCAGTGACCATGACCCATCACGTCTTCTGAGGTGGCTGACCTGCGCAGTGAATGGGAATGAGGTGGGGACCATCACAGCCCCATCTTTCGCTCCTCTGGTGGTGACACTTACCTCTGCAGTTCTCCAGGGTTGTGATCGCTGCTTTCGACGTGCTGTTTTGGCATCCCACTTGGTGCTTCCTACCAGAACAGCCCTTACTCTGTGCGGGAGTGTGCCGACGTAGGAATTCTGTCAGTTGCTAAGATTACCTATTTCAAATATTCACTTGGCAACTCGGGTCCATAACTATCGGATGAATTCACAGTCCCTCTACCCCTGCTCCAGGGTGAACTTGGGCCGGACTTCAGTTCATGTATATGAGCTCAAAATGTTAATGGAAGGCAGTGACATTTTGGGTCCCAGACATTAGTGTTCATTTGGAATTAGCAAGTGATAGTCACTAAAAAGTTTAGGAATTTCCTTTTTTCCCCGAGTAGTTATCTTTAAGGATCACATGGCTTTCGGGGAAAGGCTGAGATGAAAGTGTGCGTGCATTCTTAGGTACGGCATTTCTACAGCATCTCTCTTCAAGAATATTTGGGCTGTGCTCAGAAGTCTCTGGGTCTGGGATCTGACTTAGTGCTGGGAGTAGGGTGATAAGTCACATCTCTCTCACTCATAAGAGGTTTCTATTCCCCAGACCTAGAGCTGAGTTTTTTGTTGGTTTGTTTTTGTTACACCAACCAAAAAAGCTTAGTGGGTTGTTTATTGAGTTCATTCCTTGGGATCCTACAATTAATTAACCACAACCAGCAAGCTCTGTGGGCCAGACCAATGTGTGTTCCACCTTGCTGCCAATTCTGATGATCACAGCCCACTTTTCTTCTGCAATTAACTGCCTCCACATGGCCTCCTCTCTTCCCTGCTTGCATCTGGGAGTGTATTTTAATTGCAGTTGCTCCCACCAGCATTCCTGCCTTAGAAAACAGCCAGTGATGGGGGGGGGTGTGTGTTTAAAACTTCTGGAGCCTTATGACAAGAGAATCTTTTGAAGAAACATTGGGAATGGTGAGTTACAAGCATGTGGTTGAACCAACACAACATTCCTGCCTTCCGAAGTTTTTTTTTTTAACCTTATGCCCAATCTGGGGCCATGTGATGCCACTGTTCAAGTCCATTCCCCCAGCAATAACTCTGAGCCTTCGCCATCACTCCTACAACTCTTACCCAACTCCTATTCCCCGCTCCAGAGAAAATGAGGCTGTCATACATGAACCCCCTCATCTTCCAGCCCAGGCCTCTAAACTATCCCCCCTCCCGTCTTTCCCTCTGGTCTCAGTGGGTGAGGGGTGACCATCCTACTGTGGATTCTATCCCCCCAACTCCTCTAGGGCCATGACTTTGCCCTTTGGTTATTATGACACAATCCTGCATATTCATCTCTTTACAGATTCCTTTCCTGTAACAAAAAATTATCCTCTGATCCTTTTTATCTCTCTCTCTCATATACATACAACACAGACACAGGGGAGAGAAAGAGAGAAACCCTTTCTCAGGACCTACATCACCCTCTAGCCTTTCCTTTGCAGCCAAATCCTGGAATCAACTGTTTACACTCAGTTTTTTCCACTTCTTCATCCACCATCCACTACTCAGTCCAAAGCAATCGCCCTGCTACTCAGGACGTCTTTCTTACTTTTCCCAAAATCATCAATGACGAATCCTCTAACTGACGCGTTTCATGGACTTTTCAGTCTTTCATCTTAGATGATCTCTGCTGTCTACTGTAGGTGTCCCTCCCTTTCTGAAAATCTGTTTCTATGACGCTGCTGCACTGAGCCTGGCTCCTGGCTGTGTGCCCTACTGCCTACTTTTGTCATTCTGTGAACTGTCTGTGTACATTTAATAGAGGGTCTGTCCTTGGCTCTTCTTTTCACTCTTTCCCCTCTTCCTGGGTGACCTTTTTCACTCATGGTTCCAGCTTTAGCTGATGCCTTCCAAAAGTTATGTTTATCCAAGCACAAATATCGTTTAGCTCCTACTATGTGCCAGGCACTGTCCTAGAAGGTGGGACTATAACCGTAAGCAAAACCAAGTTCCTGTTTTTCTTTGCTTGCTAAGGACAAGCAATAAGCAGATAAAATCCATAATGTCAAGTGATACGTGCTCTTAAGAAAAATAAAGTAGGACACGACAGTGAGCCTGGGGCTGCT